GTAATTTTTGGGTGGTGGTGGCAAAAAAGCAATTATAAGAAGCCACGTAATAAATTAATGCAAACCCCCCCCCTCCATTTTATCTTCACCTAATTACTGTTGAATACTCTGTCTTGGTCAACATTGCCACGTTACTGGGTTGGGTTCAATTTGGCCCAGACTCTAGATATGCCAGCTGGTGCCCATTTCTATCATCTATCCGGATTCCCACCTTTCATTTCATTCACCTCTGGTAAGCAGAATTGTGGTTTCGGACTACAGCTCCCAAAATTCCCCAGGCAGCATGGGTGTTGTCTTCCAAACACAGAATCTGTGCAGGTCTTCATCTCTTTGCAATGCCTACGCTGACTTACAGCTCAAATTTACACTGCTGGGACTCATCTTGGAGCATTCTTCAATCAGAACCCAGCCTTTGTTATAGCCATCAGATTATTACACATCTGCATTGGTGGGTGGGTGAGAGACTGATTGCCTTCAGGGTGGAGAGAGGGGAAAAAGACAGAAAGTGCTAATTACTTGTGTGAAGGAGCGGATAAAAAGAGTGTGTCGTCTGTGGTGGACAAAATGGAGGAAAAGAGAAAAGAAGGGGAACATCAGGATGTGGCAAGGAGTGGAGAAGGAACAGAGGGAGACTTGACAGTTGGAGAAAAGGCGGGAAAGTCAGAGATCTGTCTGGCAGAGGGGGAGGGGGAGGAGCAAGAGGTGTCAGTGTGGGAGGAGGATAAAAGCGAGGAGGGGGTGGTTTGGTTTAGCTCTGTGGTGGAGGAGTATGAACATAAGAAGAGGGAGGAAAGACAGAAGGCGTTTTAAAGAGTTCGCCAACAAGGACTCTTAAGAGACTTCCCAAATCTAAAAATAGGAGGACTTCTCCCTAACCCTGAGCCGGAGGAAGAGAAGGCAAGATGTGTGGTGGCACATGAATGGACAGCTATTGTGGCTCCACGAGAGGCTGAGTTGCGCCGGAGAAGACCGCAGCCCCTTTCCCTGAGGGACCGGACGAGAGGGGGTGGGTGAGGCACTCGTGTTGAGGGACGATCTGTGCAATGAGGAGTGCCCCAACCCCGCGATCAGAGGACAAGGAGCGACATGGGGTGCTACGCTGATAAGTCCATGGGACCATAGTGAGAGTTTTGTTGATGTTGACAGTGGCCTGTTGCCGAAGTTAGAACCAATGTTACCTTCAAGCGAAGTGCTGGTGGATGTGGGAGACAATAAAGGTGACAGTTTAAAAGTTATAAAGACTAAACCTCTTTTATTTCCCGCCGAAAATGAGGGGCCGGCTGAGGGAGGCAGCGGACCTCTTCACACTAATTACTTGACAGACGTCCATTAAGAAGATATCACATCTAGGTGATAGGAGGGACTTCCTGCCATAAGAAGCTGGTGGGAGGGGGTGACAATCCTTATTCAGACCACCAGCAAGACCTCGCTTGACTTGATTCAGGACAGACAAGACAGCCAGGATGCAGAAGAGTTAACAGATATAAATGCCAGAATTTTGAAAAGTTCTCTTTTTGAGGACCATGTTTCCCCCTCTATGGGACAGCTTGAGTTACTGCGGCCCTGCTGGCTGAAGGATTCTGGGAGATGTAGTTCAAAGCAAACGCGGTGCAAATCTGATGGTGTAAACAGCAATGTTAAAACACCACCGGGATAACATGTCTATCTCCCAGGAGAGTCCGAGAAAACGTGGAAAAGGGTTGCCATAAGTGAGACTTGACTTGAAGGAGCATGATTTTGATTTCAATGTCAAGAAACCTATTCTATTCTAAGAATAGGTTTGCTCTATGTGACTACTCAGAAGCAAGCCACTTGGTTCAGTGTGGTGTATGCACACCTCGGTGAAATAAATGAGTTTTGGATTGTTACTACAAAGTTTCAACACAATAATCCTTTTCTTAGGATGTAGTACTCAAGGCCAGGCAACCTGTTTAGTTTTTAAGTCTTCCATAAGCGACGGTGTGTATGATTTTTAGAGAGATGGCTATGCATTTCTGATATGACTGATATAAAAGGGATATGAAAGAATGGGTGGTTTGCAACTGTAAATGGGAATAATGCCACCATATTAAAAAAAAAACAATAACACTTATCTATAAAACATAAAGTATTCAAAATATCAACAACAACAAAACATTTTAAAAATCAGAATTAGGCTTTGGTGTAAGAGAAAAAAAATCCCCTGGAATGCAGTGAGCCACAAACACCGGCAATAAGCAAGCTGACAAGAAGTCCTTTAAAGTAAGAAATAAGAGTTCCCAGCCCAATCACCCTGGTTGAACAAGATGTCCTGTTATCCCTTGATTCTCCTTGTGGGAGGAATCCAAACACGGTATTCCATCTTGGCCCAACAGGGAAGTCGCGATAGGTTTTCAAAATGGCGGAAAACGATCATACCGTGGCACCGTGGCTGACCTTGTGCTGCTTCAGCTGATCACTGCTGATGAAGGCGGCACTACATTGGTTGCAGGAGAAGGCACGGTGGAGGCGCAGGTGTTGTTTCAGGGAGCGGGCGTCGACTAGCCGCTTCCCACAGATATGGCACATGTAGCGTCCTTTCCGACGCCTGGCCCGGTCCCTTCCACTCGAGGGAGAAACCAGACGGCGCCTCTTCTCAGGGGGCACCGTGTCGTCTTCGGACTTGCTCGGCGAC